TTGCTTTGCAGTCTTCAGAAAAATTCAAAACTGGTGTCAGATAAGCGGTGCCTGGTACCGCTGAGTGTGATGCTGGTGCAATATGTAGGCGTAATCTCAACTGTGCACCTTGTGGCTGCAGGGAGCTGCTGGGATGCTCTGGAAGCAGGTTATTGATAAACTTCGACGGCAAAGAGCCGCGCTGCCCGCTCTGAGCAGCGTTAGTCTTTGTGCAGCAAGGATCCTGACACCGATCTCGGTGATAACCCAGCCTGAGAGCGTGTGATTTGAGCTACTTTCCGTTAAGCATGTTGATGTTACAGTAAATGTGACATGTGGGTGTTGATTGAAGGGACATAATTTTCAGGCCTGCTTTGGGCCAACACCCTGAAGAGCAAGTCAGTCCTTTGTGCTCGCTCCCCAACTAGGCTGAGCTTTCTCTGGCTGTGCCTTCAAGACAGCAGTGACTGAGGGGAACAGTGCACTTGACGTGCTGCAGCACATTTCTAGGCAGTATCGTGTACCTGGCCACCAGGAACTGTGTCCCTGTGGTGGACTTGGCTCCCCCAACTTGTCCCAGAGAAGGGTGGCCCCTGGGGTAGCCTGTGTCTTGTCCCCCAGGTGGGCAGAAGGGTGGGCAGTGGCTGTGGCAGGGTGCTGGGGCAGGCAGGGCACCCAGCAGCACCTCTGCAGTGAAGGCACTGGCAGCGCTCGCCTTCATCACCCTGTTATTGATTTGTGCAGAAAGCAGCCACAGGGGAGAAGTTTCACATGCAACACTTTGGCCCAACACCAAAACATTTCCTCTGCCCCCTTTGCCTCATTTTGATCCTGTAGAACAAGAAAAATAAGGAAAAGAATAGGTTGGCAACTTCTAGATCCTTTCTTACCCTGGTTCTGCAAAGCAATAAAAATACAAGGAAATAAATGATTGCTGTCTGGACCCAGCCTCACCCAAACTCTGTGAACAAGCATCCATGGTTCTGTCCTTTAAAGCCTCGGAAATGACTTTTAGCAAAACAGTCTTTTCCACTATTAATGGGTAGGATTTTGAGACAACTGACAAGCAGAAAGTAGTTAGCATTTGCATTCACTTTAATACTGGGCATGAGCGCATTGTTTGCATGGGGCACATATGCTCTAATGATGTCACCACACTGGAGTAGGAGTGCTGGTGGCTTTGTGACAGTGCCTTTATGGAATTAAGAGGTTTGTCCACTGTATTTTGGTGTGGTAGACAGCCAGAGACTTTGGAGATGCTGCTTAGAGTCCAGTCAGCAAGTGTAATGCTTTTTTTTTGAGTAAAGCAAATGATTTAGATTGTCCGGTTGCTTTAATTTCACAAAGCCATCATATAACAACTGTGTCACTCATGTCCCCAAAGATTGCCCATTGCCATCTCACTGTGCTCCCTAGGCAGGCAGTGCCAAGACAATGCTCTGTGTAGGAATCTCTGGATGTAGGGAAAATGCTGGGCACACCTTAACACGCCTGAAAGAACCGGGGCACGAGTCCCGGCTGGAAATAGCTCATTTGCTTTTTTTTTACTTTTCCCATGTAAGCGACATGAGATGTTTTCCCTCCTCCTATTTTGTGTGGCCTAATTTCTTCTTCTTAAAAATAAAAATTAATTTAAAATAAATACTTGTGAATAAACACCCTCCTACCTCTAAACCCATCTACCAACAACAGCAATAAAACCACAGAGTTAAATTCAAATAATGTGAAGCGACTCATTTTAAACCCACAGACACAAGCAGAGTCAGAACTTTAGATTGAGACTGGCCTAAATTGCCCCACTGGTATTAAAGGGCTCCTTAAACAGCCTAAGATCTTGGCTGTTGTATTAACCAGGCATGACCCAATGCGTTATGGGCTGGACTTGCAGGCTTTTTTCTCTTTCCCTTTGTGGGTTTTAAATCTCTCCTGTAATGTTACTTGAATGTAGGTTTTTAATGGCTTAATTGAGTTGTCAATAGGAAGCCTTTTCTTTCTTGTGTTTTTTTTATTCTGAGTAAAAAAAATAAATGCAAATTGACATGGATAAAATGCATTTGAAGATCTATTCAGTATTTTGTTTTTCATTCTTTTATGTCTGTTTTCCATGTTGTGAATAAGGGGATGTAATATAGCTTTTGCATTGTTGGGTGAATAGCTGGTCGCATGATTGATGATTTATTAAGCTCAAATCAGAAATAGAGTTGAGTAAAAAAAAATCTTTTTGATAGTTTGAAACCTAATTACTACTGATCACGAGGGCTCGGCGTACCAAGAAAACGAAAAGCTGATTTTTGGTGATGTGACGACTGCCAAAATATGAAGGAATACCAGATGTTATTTTAAAAAAGTGCCATTGCAGAGTCCTTGGAAAGAGAGAGTGAGCGAGTCTAAGCGAATAGGCATATGTGAATTTAACTAATATTCACATGAAGTGTAGAACTGAAAAGAAAGAATTCGTAACAGTTTAGCTGTTCAAACCTCCCTCATGTTTCCACAGACGTCTGTCTGGTTAGGACCCTTATCAATTGCAGCAATTTTGCTACATTTTCAGAAGAGCACGATCTAAATCACAGGCAAAAAAAAAAAAATAAATCCTCACATCAAAAAGATAATAAAGTTGAGATCTGTGCTTTTCTTTATATTTGTTACATATATATAAATGCCAAAATTCAGTCTTTGTAATTTAAGACACAGACTTTAATCAAAAAGCTTTACAGGAATGTTAGTGAAACTAGTAACAGGAATTTTTCCCCCGTGCCATCTTTTATTCTTACGACCCTTGGTTCAGTTCCTGTTTTCATGTTGTCTTTTCCAGCTCTTTGTCCCATCTCTCACTTGTGTATCTTTGTGCCTGTGTGTACCTCTCTGTACAGTTTTTTTTAAAATATTTTGACACACTCTTCCCCCTTAATAGGAATTCTGGCTACAAATTGCGTGCACGTTTCTAAAAGACCCTTTTCACAGTCCTTTTCTTTTGGCTCTAAAATGATGTATATGTAATTGGTAATTAAAGGTGCAAGCTCTCTTCAATATAAACAATATTGCTCAATGTTAGATCATTAAAGGGAACTGCAGCACTAAATAATTACCTTTTGCATCATGACACACTGTTCGCAGGTATCCGCTCCCTTCCCAGCGGTGCCTTTTCAGTACAGGGTTATAGTCACATTTTCACTAAGGCAAGGAGACATCTTTTCATGATATAAATTGGTCAATTAATTGCTTAGCATTGTCTTCAAACTCCTTTTAAACATAGATTAAGAGGAAAACGGTAATTAATGATTTGCAGAATGGGTGAGTTGGGAAGCATAAGCCTTCTCATGCCCATGGTTGGCTCCAGCAGGATGGTCCATGCCTGGGCACTGCTCTGGGGTCCCCGTCCTTTTCTGCCGTCGCTGCTGCTGCTGCTGCCGCTCTCCGCTTTGCTGTTAGAGAGCTCTGATGCAACTTGTAATACAGCTGGTAGATATGCTGATCAGTTATTTATTCTGGAAGGCAGAAATGGGAGTGATTCTTTTTCTAAACTACCTTTTTTCGAGGCTTAACCATTTTTGTTGCCAGGCAATGCATTCTACCTTCTACCTCTTGCCCCTTTTCTATGTGTTTCTTGTTTTTTTTTTTTGTTTTGTTGTTTTTTTGGTGTTTTTTTTTTTCAATTGCTGTAGAGTGGGACAAAAATCCTTTTGTTTTCAGAGTGGAGAAGAGCCCAGGTCTAAATTATAACATCTGTCTATCACAGCCTTACTTCTTTGAGATATTTGTGTTACTTTTCCCAGGAAATCCATCAGGAAACTAATAGAGAACATTTTTCCTCCTATTCCTTTAATCCTGATTCGATTAGAGGTCTCAGTCACTGATTTACATACTGTTAGCTCCTCTGTTTTGTTCAGCCCAAATCCTATAGTCCTTGCAGAGGCAAACCAGCCTTAGGCAAAAGTCAGTGGAAATTTTGCCTGAGTAAAGTCCAAGGTTTGTATGATTTGGCAGTTACATGGCAGAACAAGAAAAAACAAACAAAAACCCATGTTTTGCCCCAAAAATGGATTGTGATCCACAATTATTTTATAGTGTAAAAATTATCTTCTAAATACTGATTCAAAACATACTGTGTTTTATTAATTGTGACATGAGAAGTTACATATTTCCTAGAAACTAATTCAAGTCACCCAAAATTCTTTCCCAGTCTTTGGGGGTAAAGGTAGGAAATTCAACATGTCTGTGGACAAGATTTAAACAAAAAAACTTTTATTAGCCTATGTAGCAATGGCAGGGTTTTTGGCATTGGAAAAATAGAGTGGAATATTTCAGTCTCAGCCAATATTCCAGTACGTTAAATAAGTGCCTCATTCCCTTTCCCACTGTACACAGCTTTGAAACCCCTTAACTGCTCATGAGACCATACCCTGCTTGTGTTAGTCTTGCTAGTAGTTTTTTGTAATTTCTGCTAATGGGCGGTCATTTAATCTTGCTGGTAACTCTGTAATGGGACAAGGTGGTGCTAATTTTGTACATTGCGGGGAGCCCAGTCCTGATAGTTTGGTGCATAAAAGCTTTCCCCCTCTCCCTGAAAAAGAAGGAAAGACTTGGGTGCATAAGCTTTGCTGGATGGGGCCTTGGCCAGATGGCTGGGAGACGCAGAGGGAATGAGAAGGTGGGATAAAAAGAGAGGAACTATTTCAGAATGTGACTCGGGGCTCGAACGCTTGCAAAATGGCTCTTTGCTGATATCCTTGCAGTGCTGGCAGCAGTGGGAAGGAGCTGTCAAGAAAGCTATGCCAGGTCAGCCTTTCCATTTTGTTACAGGCAGGCTTGGTTGCAAAATATATTGAAATCATTCTGGGAGAGCGGAAAAGCTGAAAAATAAAAGAAAGATCTAATCAGGCTTGGCTCCTTTGAGGGGGGTGCGGGGAGGCTGGGCCTCTGGTGATGCATCCTTCAGAGTCTGTGAACACTCAAAGCAATCTCCTTCTCTTTTCCCCTCGTCCCTTTCCCCCCTCTTTCTCCTTGTCCATGCAAAGCAGAGGCTGACCATGTGGAACCGGCGCTGGCCGACGAGGACGAGAGCCTGGCAATAGCAGACCCAGGCGGCATCAGCATCGCCGCAGGCGGGACAGACCCCGACCTGCTGACCTGCGGACAGTGTCAGATGAACTTCCCGCTGGGAGACATCTTGGTTTTTATAGAGCACAAGAGAAAACAGTGCAATGGCACTGGTGGTGTCTGCTATGAAAAGAGCATGGATAAGAGCAGCCCTCCCCCCTCCTCACGCGCCGAGCTCAGGAAAGTGTCAGAGCCAGTGGAAATCGGGATCCAAGTCACACCCGATGAAGAAGACCGTCTTCTCACGCCTACAAAAGGAATTTGCCCCAAGCAGGAGAACATTGCAGGTACAGCACGTTTTACACTCAATCAACTTGTCTAGGTAATCTTTTAACTAGAGTCCTCTAGAAAGTGCCATGAAACAGGCTTCAGCAACACGTCTTTATAGGAACCATCCATCTGGAGGATCCTCACAGCTCTGCAGGGCTGTCCATGCCCTGTTTAATTCTTTGTAGCTGTCTGTGCAGGGCCAGCTACTGGAGAAAGGGGCCTCTCAGGCAGCTGGGGCAGTCTGTACATCTGGAAAAAGCAGAAAGTTGGGGTCAGAAAACATTTCAGGAGCATCCTTAAGCAAGCAGCAGTGGCAAAGGGATGAGGGACTTTGTTGAGGTGCCCAGTTCAGTCCTGTTCCAGATACCCTTTGTCACATGCAGACTCACTGGGAAGGGCTGCATCTTGACACTAGGAAAAATCCTCTTCCCACTGACTGGTAGTGGAAAGAAGATTTTTTTTTTATGTGAGGGCTAAAGCAGGGTTTCTTTAAGTCCTTCATTTTTAATTCCCCGGGGTAGATGTCAGCTTCCTGGCCTGCACTGCTGCCTGTGCTGCCTGTCCTGGGTGTATTTAGATGGCTTGGGTTGGGTGGGTAACACCTCCACTCTCATGCACACCCCAAAGAGATCTTCTGAGTAAGGATCCAAGAGCGCAGGCTGGCCTGGGTGAGCAAATTGCAGGCATTTCTTTTTCTTAAACTCTCACATGTGGTGAAGTTAACGTTCATTCAGTGGACCTCCCCCGCTCAGACGTGGGCAGGCAGGTGATGATTATCCACCTAGGTGAGGTGGTATGCGGTGATTCCTGCAGAGTGCCTGGCATGGGGCTGCTTCCATCAAGCAGGGTGTTTTTCCCCTTTGCAGTGGTGAAAGGATGACTCTCCTCCCTGCTAGTGAGTGGGGGTTTTATGTTACACAGCAGGATCTCCCCTCAAACGGGCCTTTTTTGTTCAAACCAACTGCATCCCATACAGAGGACCAGTGACAATCTGCCTTTGCTGCCACTATCCCAATTTATCTAGGAATTGTCCTATGGGATTAGATCTGACAGTCCAGGATCCCGCCTGTGGCAGAGATGCTCCCATGAGGGGATCCCCAGAAGACAGGTGAGAGGCTCCTATCTTTACAACTGAAGCTTAAGAGATTTCTGCCTTCAGTGTTGGTGTCTGAGCCAGTCCCCAGCATCTCTGACAGGCTTGGGCATCACATCAGTGAGGGTGTGGGCTTTAGAATGCTGCGGGCTTCAGACCTCCTGTCTTTTAGGACAGGGTATATAATGCCCATTGACTACACTGTTTTCTTCTAAGAGTATTTTTTGGGGTGCAGCCACCACCCTGACATGGGGCAGCTGTTAGCTCTGGGAGCATTATCTGTGGCAGGCCTGTGCTGCAGCATTGGAACCAAACCTACCGTGAGACCTGACCCCGTCTTTTCCTCATCCTTTTTCAGCTTTCCTCATCCTTTTGCAGTCGTGAATACATTTCTTGGTAGAGATGATTATATCATGGTGTAGCAGATTTGAGGGCTAGATTTCCTTTCCATTTGGTAGGAGCAGAAGGGAAATATTCAGGACCTTCTCTAGTCTGCTGAAGGCTGCCTGAGTGGTGCTGAGCACTCCCAAAATCTGTTGATCTCTGTGCAAGCTGATGGTGCTCAGCCCCTTGCAGAGGGTGTGCAGTGCTTAGTAAGGCTGGTTTAGGAGACCTCTGCTGCAGTTGCAGTCCAGAGCTTGTCTCTTACTAATCTCTGCCCAAGTTCAGTCCATAGTATCTCAATGGTTACTCCCAGAGCAGAGGGTGCTGTCCCATCCCAGCTTCTGGGGGTCAGCAACAACATAACCATAGCTTTTGCCATGCAGAAAATCTGCTGGGAGGTCATGAAGGAGATGTTCACACATGTGGAAAAGGCATAAAAAAAATTAAAAGCCAATCTGGAGCAGCTAATCTCTTTCAGACTAAACTGAATATCAAATGAAAAATATGTAGGAAAGATTTTGAATTGAGAAAAATAAAAAGGTTTATCATTTGATTGGCATTTTCTCAGCAGTGCATGGAGATAGGGACATCCACTAAACAGTGCTGTAATAATACTTTCTCAATTAGGAGCCCAGCTCTGAGATAAAAAGGTGCAGTGTCCTTCCATATTTTTTTTTAATAGCAGCGGATAGTTTTCAATAGTAGGATAAAAGCCTCACATTACAGCCATGGAGGGTAGCCATGAAAAACCCACAGAAGTCATTCACTGGAAAGGCTTTAGTGGGATATACCAAACCCCTTATTTATATTTCAATAGAAAGGCTTTCTGCATTAGCCAAGAAAATCAGAATCTGCATTTAACATTAAAGGTATTTCCCAGTGAGCGGCTGTAGAGCATTGTTGTTAGATTTGTTAAAAAAAGAGACTAAATACGATTTCATAAAAGGGAAACTTAATCTCTAAGGCAGCTTTCTCCTACCCTGCCACCCCCTCTCTTTATTTTTTTATTTTTTTTGTAATAATGCAACAGCCTACAGTATTTTTACTTTATATGTGACGAAAGATATTCTTAGCCTTTCTGTACTGCGACAGGAAGAATGAATTTCTTTATTCCACCAAGAAATATGTAAAATAATCCCTTAGAAGTATGGGGAGATATGTTTGTTCAAAGCATTTAAAATGTTATTTTAATCAAAGGCACAAAACACTCTACATGCTGTGTCAGCTAAAGGAGACCATTACATTTTAACAGCAAATCATGTTCTTTTTCCCCCTCCTAGCCAGCCCCCCCCCCTTTGAAACTAACTTTTTTTTTATTAAATAAAAAGGCGAAAAAGATTAAAGAATAAAAAAAAAAACTTCAGTGGCTCAAATGTATAAAGTAATTTAATATGGTGGAAGCATTAATTATTTTAGCTTAATTGAATTCTGAGGACTGCAGTAGTTGCATTTTTGTAGACAAGCTCTGTTTATTATTTCTTTGTGTAGATTAACAGTAAAGGAAACATAGATAACTTTCAGTTATTTATTGTAAAATAAATGTGTCAATTCATGTGTAAAGCAAGCTGTTCAAAGATAATTGAGTCTTTATATTTGAAGAGGGAAACCAGAAATCACCCACTCGCCACTCCGGCTCCCTGAAATATGCTGCCACCACTGCTGTCCTCGAAGAGGCTTCAGCTCCTCTCCTTGATCCTCTGTTATTTTTGCAGACCTTCTTATTTGGTCAGAATGATTTGTAAAGCCTTCTGTGGTGTGACTAAGCCACCAGACCTTGCAGCTTCCCAAGGCTGAATGCTCTGAGGGTATGTCAAGTGCTGAGCTTGGCTCTGCCATTGTACCTCTCGTAGCTCTGGGTGTGAGGATATTGGGATGCAGAAACCACACTCAGTATTCATCCTGCCACAGGGTGCTCCTCGGGTCTTTCTTCCTCTCTTTTCTTTACTTTCTTGGTAGCTCTTCTTGCCCCAGTCACTGAATGCCTCTTGACCACACAACAGACCTTGTGCTGCTTTGAGGGACATGTTGGGGCAGAACTCAGGAGCCCACGAGAATTTTTATGTATGCAACACAAATCTCCGACAAACATTTCTATATTCCAGTGGAAACAAAGGCAACTTTGTCTCTGTAATCAGCTTTTAAAGATCTTCTGATAATGAAATCTGTCATCTTTCCCTGACTGGTAACTTGCAAATCCAAGTTCTGAAGGTGTTTTCACTTAGTTACCACTGTCCGTAAGATGTGTGGTAGCATGTCAGCTGGCACTGGGAGGACGTGACTTGCTTAGGAGCAGTCTGCCCAGTGAAGGTTTTTTTTTTCTGTTTTTCAAATTGGCTGACCTGTTTGAAAATCAGTTCTGCCTCTTGTACAGAGGGTGTGATAGTATCGAAGAGATGTACCAGATTGTTGCACAGCAAAACATAACCAGGCCAATGAGTTGGCAAGCAGTTATCGGTCACTGCTTTTATTTCACTGCTGGCAGGTATTTTGGAAAAAAATAGACCACTGTTGTATTTTATACCTCTTTTTATCTTTCATATTTATCAGATCTTGGGCATAACCAGGTGACCTGTCCTGGCTGAAGAATGACCTGGGAAGGTGCTCCCACTGTCGTTTCACTGATGGTATCTCATCTCTTCCCCATGGCCCTGTGGTCTGTTTGCTAGCAGGATTCTCTGAAACTTAAAGTTAAAAAAAAGTACCAGCCAGCTTGATTTTAATGCTGAGTGGTTTTAATGCTGAACACCCCAGCAAAGAGGAGGGAGCCTCTGTGGAGCAGGCACTACTTGGACCAGACCTTCTCCAGATTCACTGGCAGGTCTGCACCTTCAGGCCAGCTGACCTTCACAAACATATAACTACAGCAGCAGCACAGGTTCACTAAGATGGTGAGCTAATTCTTGCAAAGATAGTGCTAGGAGAGGGGAGGGGGTTGATTGGAATTCCTCATTCATCCTGTCCTGGCCACCAGTGCTGGGCTCCATACATTGTACTAGATGTACATCATGAAAAAAGACTCCCTGTCAGAGGCAGGATTTAACTGCAACCCGTGCTCCATGAATGTTCATTTCAGGCTTTTGAATGGTAAAACTGCCAGTGAGAGAAACTAAATAACTCGCATGTGCTGGAAGCCAGAGATAAACACCGCTGCAGGTTGCCATGAAATGGGCTATTTGATATATTTAGAATTGTTATTTTTCTCCAAATTAAGATTAGTTAAATCCATGTGTGTTGTGTGAGTGACTGTTAACTCAATGGCATGGATTATCCTTTTTTCAAATCTTGACAGCTAATTATTATTGCTGCCTACCCTGAGACATTCTCTTACAATGTACCATTATGGACCCGTGCACCCACATTCAACTGCAGGACTCAGACAGCCGGCGTGATGCCTTCACACGTGAGGGGAGGGAAAGGCGAGCTCAAACAGCCCAAGGATTGCCACGGTGACATCAGGCAGGTTGGGAAGAGGTGCTCTGAAACTGAGCTGGTGCAGGGCTTGGTGGTTGTCCCCTTCCCAAGGCTGTCATGGCACCAGGT